TTATTCGCCTGACGTTTTGAAATCCGTCACGGATCCATCATCAGGGAAAATAGCAGTAACGTTTAAATAATCACAGGAAGTTGTGGTATTTGTGGGATGCAATCGTGTGCTACTGTATACTTATGGTAATTAACGGCTCCCCCTAGCGAGGATAGTGGCCCGCTTGCGCGCCGATGGCCGGACTGCGGGTCGGTTGCTGAACTTTCATCACGCACGATGGAATTGGGCATGACGATTGCTCGGCCATCTGGTTCCCAGGCGCTAGCGTGAGACGGTGCGTTCACGTGTGCTTTTCTCGATTGACGAATTGCTTAGGCCAAACTTAACCTCAGCACGGAGTATGGAGGAGGCAGGTCGTTGCACTTGTTCTTAGACTGGAGGCCCGTAAACCATGACTCAAATAACTCGTGATTTATACGATTGAGAGATCGCGAGAATTTTGAGCTCATCAAATTTCTATGTGTGGCCAGGTCTCGTCAAATGGGCCGCAACTTGAGAGTTGGCGTCATTTCTCCGCACTGCTGCCGCGTGTTCGGCATTTCGCGTCTTGAGAAGTCTTCCAGTTTTTACGATGCACTTTCTTTGTCCACAACTGCACCAAATCCTATAGACAACTTCAGATGTTTCTTGCCGCGGAAGTGGGTCGTTTAGTTTCATTATTTGAAGTCCTATGGCTGCCTCCGGCCTGTGTACGACTCCAACTTTAAGTGGGACAATGAGGATAGATACGCAACGGATTCCGAAACGTCAGGTGAATAAATTATCGTCTCAGCAATCATATAGGCTTTTTCTCAATTATTTCCTTGGACTCGCATTTTCGCTTGTATTGGCAATGATACTATCGTTCAACACCAGGGAGCTTATTTTCCTTTCTTCTTTCGTCGGCAAGGTTTGCTGCTATTTTATTTTTCGACGAAGGCCGGTAGTGCAGCTGCAAATATCTGCATTCTTGCCTTCAGGGAGGAATGAGGTCAGTAGGGGGGATTCGAGATCGGCTACGAAGCTCGTAGGCGCAGCATCGGTATGATTAAACCATATGCCTTTAGATATCAGGCTTGTTAGGCGGACGTGGAACGTCTTTTCGGAAGATTTTCAACTTTCGCAAACATTTATCGTTAATAGGACGAAGGTGAGCTTGGATCTTCTATTAGGCTGTGGTACGTTTTCGTTAATGTTTTCAGTAAGGGCAGAAACGTACCGGCTCTTGAGGTAAGAGATTATTGTCTCATCGATGAAGACGACTCTGGACGTCAGATATAATCGTTGTCCCTGAT